GTGGTAGTAGTGGAATTTCTCTATTTTGTATGGGTAACTTGGCTTGCGAATAGGCTGGACTGAGGAGGACTTTTCTTTACAATTGATGGCTTGGTATTTAGTGTTCATATTGGGGCACAGCGTAGACATGTTTGAGGTACGGGGTTGGAGGTTTAGTTAGTTCATACTTAGTAGTATCTAGATTGCAACAACCTGGGGGCCCGGCCCTTGGACTCGTCATATGCCAGTGTTGGCGGTACGAGATTAAATAAAATTCAATTGAATTCTAATGTCACGAACGTGGCTTAGCGAGGAAAAGGTTTTCACGTGACACATGGTTATGAGTCACAGGTATGTTATTGTTTCGCACGTATAACTCATTCGGGTTATAGGATTTGTTATATGTGGGATTTGTGATGCTTTCACACATGGCTCAAATATGAGTCATGGGACATGTGCCTGACGAGTGTGCCTTGCGGGTAAGCCATACGCATATGATTTATGTTTCGCACATGACCTCATTATGATGTCATGGGTTTCGTGCATATGACTCAGTCGAGTCATATGACTTGTTTATTGCATTATGATTGGTTTATGAGTTTCGCACATGACCTCACTATAAGGTCATGGGTTTTGAGCATGTGATCACTTTGGTCACATGACTAGTTTGTTTTGATATGGTTTTACACATGTGACCACTTTAGGTCACATGATTAAAGGCGGGAAGAACACTATATAAGGAGGCCGATGTGGCCGAGGAAGATAGGTTCTTCACACTTTGTTCTAAGTACTTTTCCTACATATTGCTTTAACGAATATAAAACACCTTTACGATCTTTATCCTTATTGCAACATTATCGTTACACTAAGAAGCACTTGTTACGAAGACGAGTTAGAGAAAGCTTACGATAGGTGTTTCCGGTAGAAGACAGAGGTCTTGTACTATCGGTGACATAGGCAGAGGCCTAGAGCTATCGTAAGACAAGGAAAGAAAGGGAAAGGAAAGATAAGTATCGTTCCCCATCGCCAAGAACTAACTATCTGAAAGGTGATCGTTACATCTAAGTACTTTTCCTACTTATTACTTTAATGAATATAAAAATACCGTTACACTCTTTATCATTATCACCATCTTTATTGCTATTACAACAGTAATAACTCTATATGCAATAGAGTAAGAGAAAGCTTATAATAGGCATTCCCAATACAAGACAGTAGTCTTGTACTATCAGAAACGTTGGTATAGGCCTAGTGCTATTAGAAGGCTAAGAGGAAGAAGCAGAAGAAGAGAAGTATCTTCCCCATCGCCAAGAACTAACTATCCAAAGGGGGATTGTTATATTTACTTTTACTATATATAGAGGTCATGTAGCATCAATTGCATGCCTTAGTTCGCTTCATACTAAATGGTCTATGATATCGCTTGGGTGAGGACATTCTTTACTGTTTATGGTTTTGTACTTAGCATTCATGTGTAAGCATTGTGTGGGCATGTTTAAGGTTTGGGACCACAGGTTTAGCTATTTTTATAGTTCACGGTACTTTCAGTTTATATTAATCTGGTACTAGCGGATACTTGTGATATGCTAGTATTAGTGGTATAAGTATAAATAAAATTATATTAAACTTAAAGCACCCAAGTTATTTCCTAATATATATTATTATGAATACTGCTTCATATTTATACCTCATATCGTACCCTCACAGGAAACCTATGACTGGTATAGTGAGTAATAGTTGCTATTAGCGTACTTAAGAAAATAAGAGTGTTTTCTTAAACAACAGAAGACAACTATGAGATGGCCACTATATTGAAGAGGATTGAAGTAATATCTTGCATTACTACTATGACAAGATTAGTTGCCTGTTGAATGAATATCTCTTGTGAGGGATCAAGGAGTAATCCTAATAATGTAATGTATTCGCAAGGTGCTAATCACCTTCTGGAGTCAAGTACAATAGTTGCCAGGTAGCCTGCTCTACCAGTGAGAAGGCGAGAGATGAAAACTAAATGAGGCTTCCGAGGTGTACTGGGAAAGCTAAAGAGTAACTGTTCAACCAAGTATATTGAAATACTAGCTGTCGAAATCTGCCTTTTCTATCGTGTAATCAAGTGAGATTTAAATACATAAATTTGCTCATATCTAACATGAATGAAAATAATCAAAGGTATCAAGTAATACACTTTGGTGAATCCACTTTAAGTATCAAAATACTACTTAAAATAAAACACTAAACAAAAACAAGTTTAACAAATGATACTTAAAGCAAACTAAGTATCAAAGCGATACTTAAAACAAACACAAAACACAACTAGGTAACAATAATACTTAAAACAAACTAAGTATCAAAGGGATACTTAAAACAAAACATAAAACAAAACACTTAGCTGATTACCCATACCAGTTATATACAATGTGAAGAAAATATTTGCATAAAACAATGAGAAAAGAAAAAGGAAAAAAAAAAGCGAAGAGAAGAAGGGGAAAGAGACTTTATTATATAGATCTGACTCAGTAGTACTAAGAAAGACTAGTAAAGGAAAGGAAAAGAAAATTAAAAAAATTAAAAAAAAGTTTAGGATTTATACCTGCACAGGGAAGAGGAAAGACATATGTCATAATAGATAAGTTGGCACATCTCCAATTACTTCTGACTTGTGGGTTTGAATCAGCTCACACTTGAAACCTCAATATACTAGGAAGTATGGTTTGCTGAGCGATGGAGCAGTTAACCTTCTCCAAGTTACCTGACAGCTTTCTCTTTCTACCCACTCCTGAAACCATCTTGACATTGCAGTTTTTAAATTGCTTTTCAATATCCTCCTATTGCACCCCGGGGGGCCCTTTTGCTGCTCATGTCTGCTAGGTGACTAATACATTTGTTAGATAAATACTATTCCTTCTCGAACTGCTTTGTCACTGAATCCGGAGATTAGGGGCTTAGCGGAGATAGCGAATGGGACGAGTTTTTACGGTATGATACTCGATTATGTACCCGATTTTTGCCCTACATACGCTCAACAAGATAGCCGGACACCATATCCGTATGCAAACGGACACTTAGGTTACTTGAGTACTTCATCTATAGCCTCGTGCTACCCGTTCAACGATCGCTAGTCTACTCGCTTTGGGTACCCGACTTCAGCTCGGCCGCGCGAGTACGACTCCCAGTACTTTTGGTAGGGCTTGATAGGCCGCCGGAGACACTCTTCTCTCATTCTACGAGTACTGTACAGTCGCACCCCGTTGTCCCGGACCTCACTTTCCCGGATCCCCCGTTGTCCCGGATAACTCGCTGTCCTGGACAGATTCTTTGGATTTTGGCCGGATTTTGGCTACCCGGGAGACAGCGAGGTACGACAGTGTGTTTTCTGATTTTCAATTGGAGCAATATTAGTGGAGTAACGGTAGTGGAATTTCGAATTATCCATATATGGTCGTTTTCGAAGCTTCTTTCGCAAGCACGCGGGTATGGTCGTAGGTGATGGGACGGACAGGGGTTTTTGAGTCAGGGCAGAGTTACCGCCAGAGGGAAAAATTGATTTAATTTGGTGGAAGCGATGCCAGTGATGATAGGAAGCTTTGACATCGTCGAGCCCCTGTCCGTCCCACCACCTGCGTCCATACCCTAAGTACCTCCCATACAAGAAGTACTCGAGTATTCGAAAATATGGGTTTGCAAAATACTCGCGAGAGGGGTGAAGTACTGAGACAAACCGGGGGACAAACGTCTTTGCAAATGTCCGTACTGCACTGGTGCTCGAGTATCGTACCGTACGGTTATTCTCCTTTCTGGGTACGAGTATCCGGGAGGCCCAACCTATTCGCAGTAGGGGTACGGGACTCGAATACGGTATTGGGACGGAAAGGGGCATCGACGGCCAGTGCTGGTGAAAAATTCCCTCCATTAGAGGGATCCAGCAGTGAAACCCAATCCCAGCAGAAAATGCCAAGCTAAAGCACCATAAGGGAGAGTAACGAAGGAAAGATTGTGAGTTCCAGCAGCTGAAACAGGAACTAAGACAAAGTGTATCCCAGAGTAGTTAGATGATACACTAACTAGATATAGAAAATTGTGACATGAGGAACGATTTACCCCACTTGAAAAATGTTTCCCCTAGTGTAAGACGGTGATGTTTATTTCAAGTTTAATACTTATATATAGTATGGTAAATTACAATGCTTATCTCTCAAATAAGTACTAAATTTAATGGTGGGATTTTTCATATGGGAAGTCTGAATCTAGTGGGATCTGGTCATGTTTGGGTACTGCTGTCCTGTGGTTGGGTGGGGTGACAGATGACCATTTCCCTTCCATTACAAAATTTGTGGCCTGAACTTCTCGAAATCTATTCGCTGTTCCATTGCAAAACCCAACCATGAACCCTCGTTCCGGGTGACCGGCGCCACGATTACATGCTCGCACTATACTGTTCTAAGGTATGTGCCAAAGTCCGTCGAACTCTGCTCTCATAGGCCAATTTTTCTATGGGAACGCAAGTCACCTGAACACACAACCGGTGAATTTCCTCGCAATTTGGTGATTGAGAAAGGGTCGAACTCTTGGCGCAGTGGCTGAGCAAATACCGTTCTCTGAGGGCCGTGAATGACTGGAGCCAATAAGGGAAGTTTGACAGACTTATGTATACCCACAACCGTTAACCCCCGGTACAAGGTGTCATGGAGAGCCGTAAAGACAAGTGACGAGTGAATCCAATATCATTTTGTGCAGCGGAAATTACCCGACTGAACCACAATGTGGTTAGCGGAGTAGGCTGATAATGTATCGAATGCTGGTATCTACTAATTAACGGAATTAGTAAGCTTTCTGTCTCGGGCCCTTACAGGTCCGGAAAACACTATTCCTTTTCGGGGCGTTGGACTTCCAGGGATAATTTCCTGACTGGGTTTAACGAGTTTTCGGGCATCTAACTTACCCTGTCGCAGTTTCAATTGGTCCAGCAAACCACTTGACTCAAATGCATGCTCTCCTCGCCCGCCTTTCCTCACACGCCGTAGCGCATCCCCATTCGCTCGGGAACCGCGCGCAAGATTCTATTTGCCAGCGCACTCGGAGCCGTTTGTTGTCAATCCGTCCCAACGTTTCCGGTGACAATTGGCCCGTTCCTGCAGCTGGAGGGGGTTGCAAAGTGGGGGAGAGGCTGGAGCAGTGTTCGTATATATTACTCGGGAAGGAGACACCCTCTTGTTGAAGAAGTCATACCCTTCTCATTCACTATCATCACTCGTTTGCTAAGATGCAGGTCCTCTTCACTCACCAGTCCGTCCAAGACTCTGGCGTCATTGGAGAGAATGTTCTGGACATTAAATTTTCAAACGATCTCTCTACTTCGTTGACATTGAGTATTCGGCCATTTACGATTGGTTGCGATATCAAAAAAATCCCTACCTCGACTCCCGCTCTCTCTGCTCCGTCATCGCCACCACTACCACCATTACTTTCGGCATCGGCTTCGGTTATGGGGGCTGGGGTGGAGGAGCCCGAGCCGGTGGCATTTCATCCTCCTCCAGCGCCTGCTACTTCGATAGCAACCCAAACCAGCCTTCCGACGCACGCGGTCGCGTCACCGCCCCCTCCCGCCTCGCTACTCGATACTTATAAAGTCCGCCAACTCGACCGGATATTCACTGCCGATAGGTTTTACAAGTACCTTCTATCGGCACCTTCCACATCCGCATACATTACTACCGACGACGGGTTCCTGTCGGCCTTGCACGGAATTACCGGGGCGGAGGACTGCAGCGCAGATTTAGTGGTTGAGGCATACGATGGGATGAATGAACTACGGAGGGCCATGATGGCGGAGGTCATCAAGGTTGTCGAGGAGGGGCTGGAAAGGGATGAAAACGAGAGGCTGGATGAATGGGTTAAGATCGAGGTGCCCAAGATTTTAGATGAGTTTATGTGAAGGGTGAGCCTTGGGCGGGGTGGGCGGGGGGTTTTTTTTTTGTCTATTTTATTATTGGAGATTCTTTTTTTTGGTCAGCAGGGGCGGGCGTTACTATTTAATTTTCTTTCTTTTTTTGTTGCGAATATAGATGAGGACTTGGAATATATGAATTACCTATGATATTGCTTAAGCGTTTTGATGGCTCCCGAGGTTATGGGATGCGAAGGGGTCAAACGGCCAGATGCTCCGCGGGATTCAATATAATTTATGATTCTTGTTCGCTGACCCGGCTTCAATGATGGGGGACATCCGGTTGGGAGGTTCGGATCTCAATCAAGTGCATCATCTTCCTCTACAACTGTTTGGCGGGACTAAAGGGGTTCCTAATCCAAGGCACTTGGAGTATGATACGTGGAGTGTGTATGTGGACATGTTTTATCCCTTCAAAGGGGTGTTAAGAGCACTTAGGTCCGTGGACGTGCTCCCCCAATGTCAGGCACTAACAGTCTTGGAAGCGGTGAATAGGGACCCCACGCGAAATGTCTTCTTGCCGAGTTATCTTATGGAGCCTTTGCCTCGGAGAGCGAGTCCTGTAAAAACACCACCGCAAGCTCACTGTAGCTATATATTATCACCAACAATAACGAACATCAGCCTATACATATAAGTCCCCTACCTTCGTAAGTTAATACGTGCCCCTTACTCCCGTAATATCTATCCGGGATCACGAGGGGAGGAAAGGTTTTATATTCACAAAACATCACTCGGATCATGGTTTGCCGACACATGGGTTGATCTGGAATAATGCTTATAAGTCAAGAGCTCGCCTTGCGCTCATCCCAAACAGTCTCGTTTTCTGCCATAATTTGATGATTAGAAGATGGGTACCACTGCCCCACTTATTGCCGCGGGATTATGTTTGATTTGAGACTTTTCTTACTGGACTTTGTGGTCTCCAGGCTGGGGGAAAAAATCTCTTTAACTTCCATCCGACTACAAGAGAACAGGTCCATACCTTGGGCGTGCTTGTAGTAATTAGCGTTGCTTGATCCGAATTTCCATCCTGTTGGAATCAGAACTGTCTGTCCGTACAACCGTGTCAGTGGTTCATCCTCGAACTGGACTCCGGGGCATCGACTTCGAACGGGATCGGTACAGTACTGCGGTTCCTTGTATGGATAACTTTGGGATTTTTAATTTTGGGCGGTGTCAGTCATAACTGGATTTCCAATCGTTCAAGAATTGCAACAGATACGAATTATGCTGGTAGACAGCGGGGGTCTCTTCTGGTGACATTGTAATTTTCTTTATTCACCGTGCTATATCACGGAGTGAATATTTTCGCTATGCGAGAAAACCAACGATTCCAAGCGGCCAGCCCGGCCATAGCTTTGAGAAGCCTGGGTCGGTCTGGTCTAAATCTTTCATGGCCGCCAAAGTACGGGGGTTCCAAGGCAAAAGGCCTGCCGGATCTTGCAGAAACCTGGGTTAAAGGAACCAAATGCTGAGGAAAAGTCGTCAGAGCTCAGAGCTAGGCCAGGCTTTGGGTTTGAAGAGCCGGTTTTTCGTGCTCCGGCCAGGAGGTCCCTGAGATAGCCTGTCTACGGTACTCAAAGCCGGGTAGACTGATCCAAGACATGGGGCTAGTCGCCCTCAACATCTAGGTGTCTTGGGCACGGATCGTAGGGGGAGAGAAAGCGCATCGGTTGTCGACAAGCGCTGGACAGACCACGGCCCCGGGCACCCTACGTGGTGTCGTCAATAGTGACAATTAGCCTCCATCCTCTTCGGTCCAGAATAGAATCCAACTAAAGTCCAACCTTTACGGTGGAATGCGTCATTATTTATCTGTCACCTGGAATCAGTATTCTAATTCTAATCTGGCTCAACTTGGGCTTACCACAATTTCCTATAATTCGGACCGGTAAAAATCTGTTCATAGTAGGGAAAACAATCAAGAGATTTCAAGTTGAATGATCACAATAAAGAAGGACGTTTTCTGATTCGATGATCATCATGTAAATGTGGCTAGACACCTGCGGTATTGATCTATCATAAAATTTCTGGTAATAAGAACATGAAGACTACAAGATTTTGGTTTGAAGTTGGAGCATGCTGAACCGGATCCAGAAGTGATAACCTAAGGGCAAATGTAGTAAAATTAGCCCTCGTCACACATTTTCAGCAGAAGGACATTGGACTTCTCCCAATTTGGCAGGAACAATGATGATGTTCCTGTACGCATGTATTGCACATTTTTGTCATTAAAGATGAATTTTGTAAGTTGGATGACTCATTCCGGAGGAGAAATCCTGAGAATTACCTGCAAAATTACGCAAGCAAAAATTGACATGTCTAGTTTAATTATCCAACGGATCAATAGTGGTATATAGAGCATTGTTATAGCTGGGATCATACTCTCAATAAATACTTCGTGGTCCTATATGGTTTCGGATATAGCTGTGATACTACCCAAGGAGCGCAAATATGGGTTGTGGAACGCTCCCAAGGTTGATATTCGAGACAGCAAATAAAACACGGTCACCTGCTCCTGAGATAAAGGCATATTCTCAAATTTAAATTTTGAGATTCCTACTCAGTTCTTGTATTCTACCCGTTCCCCTGGTTTCGGGAGTGGATAGTGGTAATGATGTAACCATGAAAGATCGTTCGTTCCATACCATTCTTCCCGTGTTCAAAATTAAAGTATTTCTTTATGCTATTAAAGGCTTCATTCAGAATGTTTATTTCTCTTTTCAGATTTGGCTGCTTATTATTCACCTTTTACTTTTTGTTTCTCATGTGTGCTGATTGATGGATTTTTTTTTCACTGCTTTCTGGTCGACAGTGCCATGTCTGATATATATTTATAGTATACTCTTTCTTGTAATTTAAATGGTTCAAATCAAGAATTAATAGAGAATCTGGTAGTATTATTATTACTCATTTTGTTGGGCATTGCTACATCTCTCCCTCTGCTCCTTACTTTTCCGTATTTTCTCTTTCCATTTCTTGCTACGGATATGGGAAAAAATATCATAATCATGATATTAAAGTGTTACCTTATCAATAGAATATTGTAATTGCTAGAAAAACATCATACTCTTATGTGAAATGGTACCTTATGTACTGGAAATAATAGGTGTTATTATAATATTATTATAATAATAATTATTATTAAAGTATCCTGCTATTTTGAGACCCTGAGCCCTATGCTCTACAGTTTCTATGCTGCATGGAAAACCCTCTATTATTATGAAAACCTGAGAGGTTAGTATGGTTTATTGTATAAGCCCTACTTGTACAATAGTATTTTTCCCAACCTACAGTAGTGGGAGTGAGGTTTATACTGACATACGTCCTGATGGGTAACTTCTCCATTGATTCAACAACTCCACACACTTAACAAAACCAAAAAAGGATATTTCTATCAATAGGAGAAAAATGAGTCCTAACGCAAACTACCATCGGACTCAAGTCACAGGGACCTATATGGGAGCAGGCCAGGGCCCTTCAGCACAAGAAGGTTCTAATACCTCCAACCATGTTATTGGACCTGGTGGTGCATCTTGGATTAAGCCTAAATCCAGTCAAGTATTATCTCTTACCTAGTGTTATTTATTTCAGGCTTTTATGGAATCGTGTTGCTTACCTAATCTTTATCTGCTCAACTATCTAGCCTCCAGATCCTTTGTTTGATACGCTCCGCCATAGGAAAATAACTCATGCACTTTTAGCTCAGTGGGGAATGGAGGATCTCATTCCTACTCCTGTACCAGCTGATGTCAAGGATCCTTCGGTACTGTTGGAACACGAGGATCGTGAGTCTTTAAAACGTATTAAGCGCAACAGACTTGTACAGTTATCCATTCCATTACTCTACTTTAGTTCAGAAATTAACTTTCTTATTTAATAGTTCTACCCAGAGAGGCTCTCTCCAGTTGATGAAACTTTATTCATGACTCCACGCAAGGTTTGCCCCTCTTGTACTTACAAATATTAATATGAAAATTTACTAAACATACAATCTTATAATTTAGAAGGCAATTATTCCCACCTACATTCGTACACGTATTGCGACTATGTACCGCAAGGAATGTGACAGGAATATGGATTCTGTGGCTGATGATCCAGAGGTTGTCACCTCAGTTGGCTCTGGTAAGCTAATATTATTTCGCCTTGGTGGGGACCGACCTGGGAAACCTCGACATCAGTTGGATTTGTGGAAGCCAGGTTTCTCTGGTAGCGGGAATTAAGGGTCAGCACTCCTCTGATTGTAGGTAGGAGTTCTGGATGGACAGAAGACTTAATTCCTACGCTCTTCATACAATAGGATTTGTATTAAGAGATAGAATATAACAATCAATCAAATATATTATTTTATAACCTATTTGCAAATTAGTGATATGAGTAGAAATATTAGCAGAATCTATGTTTGAGAGTACTACATAATCATTCAAGTTAAGGTATTCTACTTGTAGAGATGTTGGCATTGATAATAAGATTTATAAAAATAGATTAGGAGTGGTTTTAAGGAATACAGATATGGGAATAAAGAATGACAGGATATGTGTAGTATAAGAGCTTTTGATTAGAAATTGTGCAATTTCTCTGGTAACTCTGTTATTGTAGAAAACGACTAAGATTAATAAAAATGATCCCATGATTTGTAAGCTGAAGGATACTACAGCACGGGGAGCCATGGCCTTTGCGAACAAAACGCTCTTGGAGGAGCCAAATGAAGAGGGTGGGGCGGGAGGCACAGGGCATGCAACTGGAGTGTTGGAGGAGCCGCCCGGGCGACAGACCAGCATGAACTGGAGCCAGCGCCATCAGTATATTTTTTTGGAGAGGCCTGATCTCTGTACGTTGTCTGGCATTATTTGTTGCCTTTAGACAACCCAGTTCCGGCTTCCAACTCGTCAATCTTCTCTCCGTTGTCGAGGATAATCTTGGGGAGACCTTTCATACAATCGGATATGGCGTTGATGCTATCGACCACTTTGGTATAGCAGTCGGAAACCCCGCCGAGGTCCGCGAAGCCAACGTTATCCTCCCCGATGACTTGGAGGACTAGACAGTTAGATTTGTTGGCTAGCATTCGACGTATTTGGACGTATACTCGAGTACGGGCT